GGGCTGGTAGACAGACCCCGAGGCCGGGGACGCGGGCGAGGGCAAGCAGAAATGGTACCCAGGAGGGAAGGCCAGGTTGACCAGATTTCCAGGAGGAAAGGATTTGCTTATGGCCTGCGCGGATTGCTTAGTAAGAGTAGCTTGCCCATCTGTGGCCGGTCCCGGAATCACGCCTACCCATTTCGGTGAAAATGGGTCTCTACCTCCTTCCACAAAGTGGGGGTCAAAGTCCATCTTATCCTTATCGTACATCCCTATGCTATGGTATGCTTCGCTAATCGCGTGTCGGTTCCGCAACGCGCGCCGCGCTTGTTGATCCCCATCCCGCTTCATTTCCTGGGGTCGTCTGTGTACCTACCTCCCGACGCCCGTCTGTCACGCAGGCGGGAATCTACTGCTCGGACAACTGCAAGTGTGTAGAATGCAAAAACTACGAGGTGAGTCAGAGCGCTGAGGGAGGATGGGACTGGAGATGATGGGATGGCGAGTTCAGCCAAGGGTGGATGTTGGGTGAGAGTTTGGCGTTTGGAGAGGCCTGGCACTGGACGCGGACGATGTGATGGCGCCACGGGGCGTGGTGGGGAGCTTCATTATCTATTGTGGTCTTTTGTGGTGGCCATATGAGTGATCCAAGCGGTTTGGATATTGGGCCGTGGTGAAGGATAGGGCTTTCGTTAGAGGAACACGTCTAGGGCGGGTAGGACGGTGGCTGAGCCAAGTTCTATAAAGGCAAGGAGGCGCGGCGGGACGGAGATTCGGGAACGAGGGTGTGTGATTCGGAGCAGGGCCCTCCCACTCCCAGAGGTCCCATGGGATCAACCGCTGTTTGCTTACCCAACGCTAGCCGAACCACCCCGAATCAAGTGCCTTTCATTAAGCATCTACTTTGCCCATTCAAGCGGTTAGAACGCTTTCACCCCGCCGCACCGCACGTACACTGCAGGAGGCCGGCTCGGGTGCTGGCGGAGGCGCGAAGCGCATTCGGTACGGAAGTGCACCGCCGCCGTCGGTCCCCCCGCAACTCGGGGGCCTAGTAGGGGCGGGTGGGCCTCAGGCCATGACTCTGGGCGCAATCCGGCCCGGGCTGGTCCAATCGGGTGGCTTCGGAGCCTTAGTCCAGCAGCAGCACGCCGCCGGCGTCAGTGGGCTGCAAATGGGCCTGGTGGGTGCCATGGCGGCGGCTGCGGCGGCGGCGGGCGCGACAGCACCCGGCGGCGGCGCGCGGCCTGGGGGGCCGCATAGCATGATCGGCAGCTTGGCGAGTCTAGGGCCCGGCGGTATGGCGGCGCTACCGCAGGCCTTGTCGTTAGCGCTGGCGGCAGCGTCTGGGTCTGCTCCGCAACTCCTGTCATTGCAGTCGGCAGCACAGGGGACCCAGCCGGGGACGTCGTTGCTCGTGGCACCGGGGGGCGCGGCGCTGGCGCCGTCAGCGGTGGTGCCGCTGCCGTTACGGGCAAAGATGCAGGAGGTGCGGCTACTGTCTATGTGTGCGTTTGGGACTTATAGGCACAGGCACTTACTGAGTATGTTTGCGGACATGATGTTTAAGTTGCCTCGCGATACGGGAGAGTCGCGTCCCTAGGTGGTGACAAAATCCCCGCACTTCCAGCACGCCTACCTGTGGCGCAAGGGCGCACGGGCCCTGTGGCAGCAGCCACCGATCCGGGCATTGAAGTCAATCCTGCATGAATCGCACTTCCTGCACCCAGGTCGTCAATGGGATGGTCAAGCGCAGTGTTATCGAGGAGCTCTGTCGGCTGCTATGGATGGTGGCGGACGACGAGGCAGCGCCTGCGCGGAGCATGACAACCGGCGCCGCTGCGGCCGGCGCCGGCGGCGCCACCGGCAGCAGCGGTGGTGCTGCAACTTCCCAGGTTGACGGCTTGCCGTCATGGGCTGACAAGCCCGCTGCCGGTGCACAAGCCAACGGCAGCGCAGGTGGCGGCGCTATGCACGGTGTCGGGCCATTGGGCAAAGATTCCGCAGGGGGAGGGCGGCACGACGAAGGGGCTTTGCTAAGCCAACCTGACGGGGCGGCGGCCGCGGCCGCCGGCGACATCGCGAATGGCATTGCCTGCGACGACAGCGGTGAAGGCAACGGCAGCGGTGCAGCAGGGGGAGCCGTCTTTGTGAAACTTGAAAGCGGCGATGGCATGGAGTCGCACCAGCTCGGCGGTTTGCAGCCACTTGCGCAACCACCTCCTCTCCCGGTACTATCAAATGGCGACGGCGGGGCGGATGACATGGCGGCAGAGGCAGAGCTTCTGGCGGAAGGGGAGCAAAGTCAAGGAGCAGGCGGGACTGCAGCGGCGGGTGCGGCAACAGCGGGCCCGGGCCCATGGGCGGCTGCTCAAGGGGCGAGGGAAGCAGGCAAGGGAGGGGGGTTAGGGACTATGCAAGGGCAAACCCGGACCGAAGCCCGGTCACGGGTCAACAAAAGCAGGCAAGTCCCTCAACTCCATAGGCTTGCGGCATTGGCGCTGCCATCATGCCTGCCCGGATTAATGAATGAACGTGAAGATGCTTTAGGAAAGGGACCCATGTAAAGTATTGGACTGCTTGCTGCGAAGGGCTTCATACAACGTTGCGTAGGGCCCCAGGCCAACTTGTGACCGTCATCCCTGGATTCCCACTACCGCAGGCGATGCCACGACAGACCGGGTGGAACACCACGGGCAAGGTTCCCCTGGCTTTGAGCCGCAGGAGCAGCAGCAGCAGCAGCCGCCACAACAACAGCAGTTGCCGCCGCCGCCGCCACGGCGGCCTAGTCTCTTGTACGGCAGGAAAGAACGAGTCGTACTGGAGGAGTTTCTGTCCATTATGAACAAAATTGGCGATACCGCTGCCAAAAAACTGCAACAGCACGGTGTCGTGATCGCAGCGCAGGCCTCGTTATCGTCGCTACAGCAGCAGTCGCAGACACAAGCAATGCCGCTCGCGGCCACAGCGGCGGGGGCTGCGGGGGGCCCGCTGCCGCCCTACGGCTACACGCAGACCGTTCCTATCGTCGCCCCCTCGAGCCTTCCAGGGGCCGCAGCACAGCAACAGCAGCAGCAGCAACAACAACAGCCTCCTAGTGCGTTGGCTGCGGCAGCGGGGGCCTGTGCTGTAACAGGGCCAGGCGGCGCGTATCCGGCTATAATTCGGCCGCCCGGCGGTGGTGGTGGTCAGGTCGCTATGATGGCGCCGACGGGTTTTCCTAACGGCCAGGTGCGTCGTAACTCGTAACGGCCACGAGCCCGGGCTCTCATGATGGCGTTATGTCTGGCAAGCATACTCCCACGGGATGTACGGCCCGTACTTTATGAAGAGGACACTGCTGGAAAGGACGCGCCGTGGCCTGAAGTGGTGTCGTCGACCTGGCTGACGTACTGCTTGGGACCCCCCTACGGGCTTAAAACTCAGCCACAGCAAATGGCAGCGAAATTGTTGTGCGGAAGGGGATTTTCTCCTGCCATTCCCCGTCCTTTCCTGGGGGCCGTTGTCCTGCTGTGAACCTTTACCTGTCCTCTGCAGGCCATGTACCCGGTGGGCACGTACCCAGCCCCGGGTGTTGGTGCAGCGGGGCCAGCCGGTGGCGGCGTCGCCACTGCCTCTGCCGCCGCTGCGGCGCAGCTTGGACACCAGACCTTGCCTTACGGCTCGGCGGGAATGGCCGCCGGGCCAGACGGTGTGGTGGTCGTTGCGCCACCTGCCAGTTCGTTGGTTGGTAGCGCAACGGCGCCCGGGGTTGTGGAGGCCGACCAACAGCAGCAACCGCAGCAGCACCATCTCCATGCCATGCACGGTGGAGTACCTGTGATTCTGGCGCCGCCGCGCGGCAGCCACACCTCGATCACATCCGGGGCGCTGCCGCCGCCGCTGTCGCACACACTCCAGCAGCAACAACAGCTTCAACATCATCAGAATCAGCATCAACTGCCACAGCCGCAGCTGCCGCAACAGCCTTTAAACGTCTACGATGATCCTCAACATCCAGCATCTGTCAGCGCACCGTTCTCAACCCCGTTTCTCCCGTACAGCACGGATCTGGCCATGCAGCCGGGCACCATCGGGGATGATCAACCACAGCATCACCCACTGCAACAGCATCCCGGCCAGCAGGGTGAAGCTCATCCGACGCAACCTCAACAACATCAAGAGTTCTTGCAGCAACCAGAGCAGCAAACGGAGGCGCTGCTTCCGGGCCTGATGGTGGTTTCCGAGGGGGAGCAACTGGCAGGTGCTTTATGGAGCCCAACCGCCGCCGGCCAGGCAATGCTGCTACAGCCACACCCCCTTCTGCAGTCGTCGCAGCCGCAGGCGGCACCTGGCGTCGCTGCCATCGGCGGCGGGACCGTGTGCGCGGCGGGGTTGCCGGCTGCACAGGGGGCTGACCAACCCATGGCTGACGTTGACAGCCATGGAAGCAGCGGGGGTGGCGGCGGTTGTAATGCCGATGTCATGGACACCACAGCACTTTAGGTGGCATACGACCCCCGGCATCTCAGTTGCGGGCGCGATGCGTGTAGAGGATGCAGACAATTGCAGGACTGTGAAGAAGAGGTCGTGCTGAAACCTCCCCCCTTCACCGAACGGGGGACAAGGTGGGTACCCATCTGTGGGGAAGAGACTGCTGCGCAGAAAAGGTACTGCTGTGTGCTGGTGCTGCGGCGGCGGTGGCGGCGTGTGGGCGTGGGCAGGGCCGTGTGGGTGAGCTCGTCAGTCTCTTGCATCTTGCATTCGTTGTGAATGGGAAAACGGCGGCAGTGGGATAGGCAAAAATGCTGTGCGCGTATGTTCATATGTACGTATGTATGTGTGCGTATGTGTGTAGGTGTACTCGGTAGTAAAGCGCGGCTGCATGTCGTATGCCGATACACCCATGGGTTAGGGCAGCTCGTCGCGGTCCTTTTGCATGGAGGGCTATGAATGCTATTTGGAGGGTGGATGTTGTGTGGCAAGGGCATGTGCGTGTGGGCTGTCGGGCTGCGCAAGAGCGGCGGAAGGCAGCTCACAGCGGTGCAGGGACGCAGGCGCGTGGTGGCCATGTGAGATCCGAGGGGGCGGGCGGCCGGCCGGCCGGTTGGAAGCACCGGCAGAAGCACCGGCATCATTGCCGCGACAGGGAAGGAGCACTACAGGGGCCCGGGAAAAAGGCGGCAGCGCTAAACGGCGCTAAGCGGCGGACGGGTAGCCCCTTGCTGTCATCAATTTTGTGTCTCTCTTGTCTGCGTGTGTGTCGCCTTCCTGACCTTCGTGACAGTGTTATCGGACCCTTGGTCCATCTTAGGACTTATCTTTTCTGTCGGTGTTCGTGTGCTTGTCTGTGCTCAGTTGGTAAAGTAGATTACAAGTAGATCTCGCTTAGACCCGCGATGGGTCGCACTTGCTTGCTTACAGTGAAGTTACCAGTGGTGAGGCTGACGGCTGACGGCTGGCAGCCGCCCCGCGCTGCGGGCGCCGTGAAATGGTGACTGCTTTGAGCATGTCGTAGTTTATTATGAGCCTCGTAGGGACGATGAGGATGCTGGTGCGTGGTGTGGCAGCTGCCATTCATCTCTAATGGGCACCGAGATCACGAGAGACAGGTGTCGAGTTCCAGCCGCTCACCGCACAGCGGCTTTGGCGGTCGGGAGCGGCTTTTTTGAGAGGGCAGGGCATAGGTGCGTGGATGTGTCGGGCCTGCCTAAAGAGTGTTCTTAAGGATGCGGCGGCTTGGATGCAGCGCCGCGCCTTAGGGCCCAGGGCTACCGCCACCGCCGGCCTCTCTGGCCGCAGGCTCGGAAGCAGTGGGACTGGGCTGTCCAATGGCGTGTGGCCGGCTTTCTACACCGCTATCAACCCACAGGCGCCACAATGGGTCCCTCCTTCCTCGCGCTCCTCGCGACTGCGCTTTCTGCCTGCTATCGATGCTAACACTCCGGGACGTGCCGGGACATGTGGTGTTGAGATTGGGGTTTAGGTACAGGTCAGCTCCTGATGTGAGCTCTCAGCGCTTGCACTATGCCATGATAACCCTCGCAATCCGTCGCCAGCTCACGCTGGCCCACGGCGACGACTGCTGTACCTACCATTACCGACGGCTTTCACGACACGAATAAAAAGGGGAGCAGCAGGCCTTGAAGGCCCTCCCGACCGGAAAGCGCCCCAGGTGGTCTCTGGGTGGGCTCTAGAGAGGGGCTCTCGGCTCCAGCAGTGAGGTAGCGGCCCGGGGGCGCATACATCCACCCACATTCTCATGCCATAAAGTATTTCCCTGCTGTTTTGCTCATGCGAAGTGTGCATCATGAACACCGCACCGCTTTGATAGAAATCCCAACCGCTTGAAAGCCAAGTCGGTTAATGAGACGTGCGTATCCCTCTCTTGATTGGCACTTGAGACGGTGCCATAAATCTTTTTTTGTCGTCCAGCTCGTCATGGAGAAAGTGGAGCAGTCTATGGGGAGCAACCAGCAGGGTTCGCTGGTCGAGCCTCTGGCCACCTAAGTTGTGTCCCGGGAGTCCTCCTACCGTAGTGCTGCTGCCACCATTACAGCAATGGAACCCATAGATCGCCCTTGCCCGTGTGTCTATTTTTCCGTGTCACAACGGGCCGGCGAACCGAGGGTGGTAAGCCGCTGAGAGATATGTGGGGTGGCACCCTTGAGGCGCCTGCTTTCGTGGCGTCCGAGAAGTCCTGCTGGTTGCTAACTGCTTCAAAGTCTTCGGCAAGAACTGCCATCCGGCAGTGATGAAACGTGTAAATACGTGGAGGCAGCTCGAATTGCAGATGTGTTGCGTAGTTAGCAGCATTACTGCGCTTCATTTAAACGTGCAAATGCTCATCACCCTATACCGGACGAGCATGAAATGGGGCTCCCGTTCAGCCTTAAACCCAATCCGGGTGGGTGGGTAGGTTTTCAGCTGGCCAGCAATTTTTACAACATTTGCAACACGCATACAGGCCTGGTCAGATACTTGTAACCTGTACATACATTTTACCAGGGTTGGGTGCAAACTGAGACACAATCCATCTGACACTATTCTCCACATGCGGTAATGCTTGTATTATTTTCTGTCACCACCAGCATCCCCAGGTTAGTTAATACATACCCGAAGGGTCGGGGAGACGAAGAAGAGACTTTGGTTCCCACAATGATGAACGGGCCATACATATGAAGGAGCGAAGGCATTTACCTCAACAGCGACTGAAGCCGCACAGCCGCCTTCAAACAACACAGCCTCATTACACCGGATTCAGGACCTGGAGAGAGAAAAGGGGCGGAGACGAGCACAGAAGCCACAAGCTGAACACCCAACGTAACTTCGTTAACGGGTGCGCACTCGGGACCCCGAGCGCACGAGCAATGACGTGGACCTGCATGTTTGTGCGGGTACAGCCAGGCAAATTCAACTTTGCCCAGGGAAGGGGAAGGACCTCCAAGGGCTAACGCAAAGCTGTACACGGATTATGTGTACTGCGTGGGCTAACCAAAGAAGTTGACAGCCATTGGCCAGCGCTTGCTCCTGGCAGCTGGAGCTGTGTCCTACGGCCCTCTGGGCCTTCGCCAATGCGTCACTATGAGGGGACAGCTCAAGACTGCAGGTCCTTCTGAGGTCTTAAAATTAAGAGACTTGTGGAAGTAAATCAACGCAAAACCTCTTTTACAAACATGTTGTTTGAGTCACAAACGCAGACCTGCTACACGAACATACTTCAGTAAAAAGTATTTCTTTGATCTCCATTGCACTCCAGATACTAATGAGCGTAATGAAAGGTGCGCCATGGAGGTGGATTGTACTCGAAGTTGTAAGCATTCGTGCGTGTAGTTCGGCACTGCGACAGGTAAAGCGTGACAGGTAATCCAACCAAATGTATATTTATGAAAGCTCATAGGACTTTATCATAATACATACTGAACAAATGTCATCCCATAACCGCTTTGTTCTTGACAGAGGCGTCGCACTCGGCTGCTCGTAGATGTATATCCCATCACTCGCGAACATGCTTTGGAAAGTAGGAACCTGCTAGTACGGGGTGGCTGCTTCTTAGGGCTGCACCCACCCCGTACACTCGCCTCTACGCCTTGATTTACGAACCCGGAAGTTTAGAGCAGAGGTCGGTTGATATTTCTTGATCAAGACTGTTTGGGTGTTCTGTGTGCACATGTGTCGCTAACTACCTATTCAGATGAGGTACAGGAGCACTAAGATGGCACCTTGAAACTGAAGCCGCAGGCTAAACATAAGACTTTAATACTAGATCACAAAAAATCGACGGTCCTTTTTAATGACCCTCCTAGCTCCAGCCATGTTAGTCACTTTCACGATGACATTGGCTGGCGTCGACAGGTTGGCGTCATCAAAGCACGAATTATAGACGAATGAGCCTGAATGGATGTGCCATGCTGCATAATTCCACAAGGGAGCGGCAGCGTACACGATAAACATGCTGCTGAAGGCTTATTGATGAATGACTGCAAGGTGCTTCAATGGGTGGAACCGGGCTGGAACTGCTACCTGATTAAAAGACGCGACAGACGCATATAATGTTAAATCATGAACGGGTTGCCCCAGGTGGCTCACCTTCACCACAAGGGCTCGTTGCGCTCTTGTGATCCTTTCCCGGCGCACCCCTGGGGCGGCCGCCTTCGTTGCCGTGGCTATGGGTGGTTTACCCGCACCGCATGACTTACACGCGGCTCCCATATGCAGTCTCTTCACGCATAAACACGTACTGGCAGGTAATACCAGAGTTGGGACAGGCACTGGAGACCTGTGTTGGTGCCTTGGGTTTGCGCATGTCGTTGCTTTCAGCCGCGGCTTGCTATTGCCCCGAGGGTTGTGTATCTGGGAAACGGTGCGTTTCTATGCGTTCTGCAGTACTACTATTACTACTATTAATGTGTTGGGGTGCAGCGGTACGAGATGCTGAATGCCCAAGAATCTCACTCAGAAGATAAGTCAGATTCCTTTTCATTAAGCAAAGCACGTATCTTGACAACTACGTCATTGTCCCTGAGGGCACGTTCCGGCCTGGTCCATGTTATCGACAACCCAAGGAGGAGCCGCAACCCGTTGGATGGGCTCCTGGACCACCCAGCACCATTCCGCTGGGTCCGGAGGCCACATGCACATTATTGACCGCACTCCATTATAGATTTGGAGAGGCTATGTTTGTGCTCGCTCAGCTTGCCGAATCTGCTTCGGAGCACGAAACAAAGGAAGATTCGACTTCTGGAAATATAGGCAAGGTATTTTCGGGGAAGTGGAGGTATAAAGGCAAAGCGTGGGGGCCCAAAATCGTTGGCTGACAAGCTCCAAAGGCAGTCCTACGCTGCCTCCGTGTGTGGCAGGGGGCTGGCAGCAGCCGTATCCGTCACCCATCCTCAGCCGTCTTTGCTGAGTTTTCGAATAGGCAGTTCCCGTCAGCTTCGTACACGGTGCGAGCCGCATACTCGAGCGCAAGTAACTGCTGTCGCGATGGCAGCCGTACCGCCCTGCCGCCGCCGCCGCAACAGCAGCAGCAGCAGATGCAGCAGCAGCGGCATTACCACAGCCATCCACAACACGAACCGCATGTCGCCGCGGCCTTTTCAATCGCTTCACCGGCGCGGATTTGTCCCTGTTCGTGCTTGTGTTTGTGTGTGTTTGCGTTTGGCTTTGTGTTTTTTTTGTGTGTGTGTGTGTGCGTGTGCGTGTGTGTGCATGTGTGTGCGTGTGTGTGTGCATGTGTGTGCGAAGGTTACAAGCATCTGACCCGGCTTGACACTGGCATTGGGGCTGCTGATCAGGCCCAACGGAAGGACCGCCTACGCTCCCTCTCGCGGACGGGAGAGGGGCCTCTGTCCTGTCCTAAGCAGCCGAGAGCCGCAGGTCCGCTAGCTCAGCTCTCCTCCCCAGGGGTGGTGGCGTTGTGAGGACAAACAGCCATTGGGCTGCTTTGAATACCTGTCAGGGTGGGAAGGCGGCGGGATAAAGCCAACCTTGCGGAGGGCTTGTTCAAAGCTTGTTTGAAGGATAGCGCAGTCCAGCTGCAGATTTTATTCATGAGGCAGGTAGTGGGGACGGCACGGCCATCCCACAGGCTGTTGTATGCGGAGCTGGCTGAACTCCCCTTACAGTATTACATGGTGAAACACATCCTCCGTTTCTGGAACCGCCTTCAAAAGCAAGTGGGGTCCATTTGCTCATGCAGTTTTACGGCAAGAGATAACCGATGATCTGACCAACCCGGAATGGGAGGGTTGGGGGACCTCAATGTTACGACTGTTTTCCTTCTTGGAGTGCAATATTTGGAGGGGAATACCGCAAGAAGTCATGGGGGTAAAGGAGCGTGTTGACTGGTTGTTGAGTAGACCTCTACCCGAAGGAGCGGTGATAACGGCACTAAGGGAGCGTTTGGTGAGCGACTGGGATCATGCGCGTCTGACTGTCTTGCCAGAGGAGTACCCATCAGATGGGAAGCAACCGGGAGTGCAAATGGCGAAGTATAAACACTGGATGGGGCTGCCCTTTTCGGGAGCCGCAGCCGTCAAGTAGCCAACACATGCTAAGGTTTTCATTCCCCGTTTAGCACATCGTAAGCTAATGCAGTTTCGTTTATGTTGCTGGGCTTTGGAGGCAAACAGAGCACGAAGAGCACGAAGCACCATGTCCCCAGGGGGCAGCGGTTTTGCCGCTGTTGTGGTATGAATAACCGAATCGAGAATGATAAACACGTGTTATTGGAATGCCCAGCCTATAATGATATTCGTGCTGAAGAGGGATTCGATCATCAACAGAGCATATTGGAGGCCATGAAATGGGAACCAGCACGTCTGGCGAGGATGTTGGAACGTAAGTGGGCTCACCGAAACCCAGTTATCCCCTTTGGAAGCTAGTCTGGGCTGATGTGCGGTGTTTCCTGTTCTCCGTGGTTTTTAGGCGTATAGATATTGCCCTTGGGCCTTCGGGTCGTATGGGTAGTTTTACAGGTATGGGGTCACGCACCCCCAACCATGCAACACACACACACATAAAAAAAGAAATAAATACCTGTGAAAAATCATCATGCAACCGAGCTTCATGGACGTAGGCGATAGGGGCTGATACTTGAGAGGTGTAAAGGTATTTGTTGTGTAACCGTATAACCCCTCTCCTATCATCGCATGAATCTGCCCATGCGAACAAGGGGGGGAACGAGCGTGCAAAATGGGCAGGACCCTGCAGAGTATTACATCGATGCACCGACAATTCTTCTCGAGAAAAGTTTCGTAACGAGTATGCTTGCCTGTCTCCGCTGTCAAGATATCCATGCGTTCGTAGTCTCTTTCTCCGTCTCTTCACCCCTGGTTAGGCATGAAATTCGACAGGCCAGCCAAGTCCGGCGGCTGCTCGTCAGTCCGCAGCCAGTCACTCATGTCGTCTGCTCGCGGTCTGAACCCGAAGGACTTAATCGTGCAGCGAAATAAGTAAAAGAGTATGACTCAACATCGCGTTGGTCGCAACCCAGTTTCCAGGACGCGGGGTGCGCAAGCGAGTCTGGTCGGACGGCAGACGACGACGAAGTGCATGGCCTGGGCTGGCCTGGGCTTGAGTGCGGCATATAGGTCCTGGGGCTGGCTTCCATGCACGTTACTCATTCACCGTGTGTTAAAAAAAAGGGTAAGGCTGGTGTGTAACACTGCTGTTTGGGGATTTGGGAGCTGTATAATTTCATGTCAAGAGGGCCCGTTTCAAGATACCGCCGAACGATGAGAACTTCCCCTCCCATTAACTGGATTGGTAGCAAGCTCATTTGTTCCACAAACTGTAAGTCGCGTTACACTGGCTTGTGAAATGTTTGAAAAAGGCGGAGCTGGTAAGACTACACGTCGAAACACGGAAACCGTTTTTTGCCACCAAAATATCCGCTCGGCACATATAATTATCACAAAAGAATGATATATAACACTTTACATCGAAGTAAGGCCATTCATTCGTTCAAACCAGAAATCAAGTGTCACCTATTTTTTGTGCAACTTATTGCGTCTTAACGCATATCATCTGCTTTGTGTATGATCTGTGAGTTGATATTGCGTTTCTTTCTGATGAATTGATCCGTTATCATTCGCAACAGACGCGGTATCATACTATAATGTCAGATGTACAGACGCTGCATTACTGATGGTACGGAAGGTGGGTGGTGTTGCGCCCGCCTTCGCCGTAATATAGTGTTAGATGCATGCGGTGTAATCGAATTGTCTTTAAAAATTTCTGAAATTGTCGGCAAGGCGATTAAGAAGTGTTGACAGACGCCGATAGACTTGGGCAGGCAAGACGACGCAAGCCGTGGGAGCCCCATGCCGTCTGAGACCTAAGCTGAGACCGACTGCGACCTAAGAAGACCGAAAGCCATAGCCATTAAAGTGAGTTGGATAATATGCAAGGATCGCAGTTTAACTAACAAGAAGACTTGGCGAAATCGCTGCGAAATCTCATCGACATACCGGTGTCACCCCACAACCAGCAGGAAGTTCATAGTGAGCACGTTTGTTACAGCCGTTGATTATCTGGCTAAGATAATCACAGATTTATACCTCCAGACTTTTTCCTTGGTTCGCTGACTTCTAAGGACGTTTGATGGCGCCAGATGGCACCAGAAGTCGTTCCCATCCAAGCAGTACTACAAGGCCAGTAATGAAGGACACGCATCTTCTGCCTTCGCAGGAAGTTCAGGTTTTAAAAACCTCAGTCAGAACCCAGCGATCCAGTCGATCAGGATATTTACTGTTAATGGCGGTGCCCTTTCAGCCTGAGAAAAGCCGCCTGGCGCCCAGCGGCCTGGCCCTTCTGGCCATGGGCGTCCTGCTGTTCTCGACACCTGCAAGATCGACTGATGGCCGTCAGCTGCTACAGGCCATAACAGATTTCCCACCGGGATGCAAGTGCGACCGGACCTCTGAATCCTCGCCATACCAGCTGGTGTACGACCAGGAAGGCTCCACGCCCATCTCCGGCTTCAACCGCCATTGTTTTTATATTCAAAAGGCCAGCTGCAACGCCAGCAGTGTTTGCTGCAACGCCTCCAGCGGGGTTTACAAAGTCGAGCTCGATGTTGGTCAGTTCGCTTCATGCGGAGGAGGGGGCATGCGGTCGTTGCTTTCAGTTGGTTAGGCCGCCGGGGTAGTTGTTGCAATCTTTTGCACTTCGTGCAGAAGCGTTGAGCTCCGCCGACAATAGCGCTGTCCTCGCCTCCACGAGGATCTGGTTAGATGGGTCCTTCATTAGTTACATCTCAATCTTCATCTTACATCTTACACCTGCCTTATGACGTCGACGTACATTTAATATCTCCCGCGTCCTTAAATCCGTACCCATTAAAGACAAGGAGTTCACCAACTGGGGCAGGGGGCGCTTCAAATTGGATATTATTATGGAATCGACCTAATAAAGCCCGAACGCCATAATCGTTGAACCCTTAGCCAGCCTCCGCCCCCAAGTCCCTGTAATTGTTTGCGATAGCATTTTAATATGTTATTTCTTTTGTAGCGTATCAAACCGGACAGCACCCAAGCGCTTCACCTGGCCCCCCCGCAGCATCCCCAACCTCCGCAGGCCGTTATCCACACGTTCCATCGCGCCTACCCTCCTTTTCCGTAACTCACTTATACCCTCCGCCGCCGTTTTTTCCCCCACCTTGTCCCCAGTGCCTGCCTGCAAGCAGGCCTTAAAGCGTGTGACGGTTGACGGCAATCCGTACAGCGCTTGGGAGTTCAACGCCGCTCTCGGCATGCTGCGCGTGACTCGGCTCAACCTTACGGAGATCTCAGCCCCCGGTACCCAGATCTGCTATTTCCTCAAGAACGACACAGCCTGCTCAACTCTTGCAAAGTTATGTGCGCTGGGGACGGGCGCCTGCAAGTACTCCCTCTTCAACTTTCAACGCGACTGCTGCCCCGTGGGCGTTGCCAACCCGCCGCCGCCGCCACCATCGCCGCCGCTGCCGGCAATTGTCCCTGGCAGCATACGCCCGGTGCCGCCCGCGCCGCTGGATCAGCCGCCATCTCCGCCGCGCTCCGATTTCCCTGACTGTGTATGCGAACGGGATCCTGATGGCTCACGCCTGTACCTGAAGCCCAACATTACCATCACACCCGCTGAGAAGAACCTTACCAGCATCTGCTTTACTGTTGGCATGCGCGATGTCTGCTCCAAGCCGGAGCTGGGTTGCTGCGAGTTCACACTTTATAAGCTGGAGTTCGAGGCCGACGCCGCGTGTGCCCCAGCGCTCGCATACAGCACTGTGGATGGCGAGAGACGCATGCGCCTGTTCCAATTTACGCCCTACCCTGCCATTAAGGTGACGGGCATTGGCAAGGACTTCTCGCGCGCCCCAGAGACGGAGGTGTGTCTGTTTATGAAACCCAGATGCAACACTCTGCAACAGCTCGGTGCGTTTCATGATGGCACTATCACGGTGGGCATCGCCAACAAACCGGGATCCAAACCTGCCACCTGCTGCCCTCTTTTCTACGCTGGCCAATAGTGCATAGTACCTGCAGTCTGTCAGGTCCTTTGGTGACAAAACACTAGCCGTTAGCGGTTGGTGCTTGGGCTTAGTTCGTCTCGAAAATGCTGTTGATGCTAAACGTATGACAATAATATTCCAGGTTTACCGTTAGGAATTTATTCTCCGTTAGATTGCTGGTACACATTCTTTCTAGTTTGTCATGGCAGCAATACTCCCCCATCTACATGTGGGTGTAGTCACCTTGCTGGCTTCTGTCGCCGCGATGTACGGCAAGGGTTCGGGACTCATCCAACCAGGGTTTCCATTCTCGCGCACGCTTTCCTGACAAATAAGTGACTGCTGTTGTTGATTGTCAGAATGGGATGTTGGCATTAATCCTTGCATATCCGATTGCTTTAGTGCTTTTTCCCCCCTCATCCGGACGAGGCTTAAACACTGCCCCGCGTCTACTACCTAGGGGGTGAGCCACGTGCTATGTGGAAAATGCTGGGCATATTTGGGCAGCACACTGGGGTAGGAGTCGTTGATTAGAACTTAGATGGTGTGTACCTATGTATCAGCCACTTAAATGTTGGAAGCGAGCATCGCCATCCGTCTGTGTGTGTGTGTGTGTGTGTGTGTGTGTGTGTGTGTGTGTGTGTGTGTAAGTGTGTAAGCTTGTGTGTCTGTTACACATCGATCCGGGCCTGACGCTGAGTGTGCGTGTGTGTCGAGGGAAAGTGATGTGCATCGCGGTGCAGCGCATACAATCATGATGTGTATGTATGTTTGTATGTGTGTGCAAGTTTGGCATCTAGTAGGTTCTTTTGTTTAAGAGCAGCAGCAGCATTCATACAGCTAGGGATAGTTTCGTTGTCGGTTAGTACGATATTACGACGGTTAGTACGATACTACGACGGTTAGTACGATATTACGATGGTGACATATTAAGACAGCATCCTCTAATCCATGAGGTAAAGCCGCCATACCTAAAGCACCACGAGTAATGTTGCTGATCACTTTCTTGGGCGCCCCGTGCCATCCCCCGGATGTCACCTTTGTGGGCTGCCTGCGGCCAAGTCGGGGACAGGAACCGGGCTGCTGGTCAGTACGCGACCAACTATACTTTCCAACTGTTTTGCTGTCCATCCTGTTGGGGCTTATCTACTCGGGATTAATGACCCAACAGCGAAAGCTAGGTGGTTGACTAGGCGATTGGGCTCGTGGGAGCTCTGTTCCTTTGTGGGCAGCAGGTGGGTTTGTCAGTAGGCTTGTCAAGCGCCTGTGATGGGCGGAAAACATGCACAGCGGAACTGCCGCCGGTTACCCGCGTTCGTGCCTGGGGTTGGATGTTGCTATGCTATGTGTCGTGTCGTGTTAGGGGTCCCCTTTTTTCCTACACTTGCTGCGGCTCACGCGCTCCTTAGTCGCGTACACGCCAATGCTCCCAGTTGAGCTTGGAAAGCGCTCTGCCCGCTGGCCACCCTGGAGCCCACGTGACCTACGATGACGGGTATGGACGATGCCGTAATGGCTGGAAGAGCCAGGGAAGCTGGCTAGTTCAGTTGTGTGCGGGATAAGGTGTAGGCGCAAGCAGTATTTTGGCGGCTTCCACGCCTGGGGGGGCCGGGGATGGATGCGTGCGAGCCGCACAAGCATTTTGAGTGAAGATAATCCTAGGGGGATTGATTCTATGTTTGAAGCCGAGGTTGGCTTTATGCCGCTGCATGTTCCACCGCCGCCGCCGCTGGCTTGCTAGAAATCAACCTCACGGATCCACCGTGAAGAGAAATGACGATTAAAGACGTAACCTGACGTACATCGCCACGTGACCACGCAGCTGGCTTGACAGGCCTCAAGAAAACTAGCACAGTGATTAGCTCCTCATCCGCCGCCTTGATCATGCGCACCACTTGCACCATCCGCCGCTGTTACTGCCAACAAGTCGACGACTCCCTTGGCCGCCTTCCAGCGTGACTCTAGACAGTTGGGATTAGCCTTGTGGTGTGACAGCAGTATGCTCACGGCTTGGGCTATGAAGTCCGGGCACAAAGGCGGATAAAGAAACGTTAGGCAAGCCATGGCAAGTCAAAGCGGGTATCGCTCACTGGCATGCTCCGTGCAAATAGCTGCTGCGGACTTTCGGTGAGCTGTTTCATCACTTTTTGCAAATCTGCTTACGCGCCTAGTAGTCCCACAAGTGCGGAATGAATACGGACAAAAACTCTTAGCTATGTTGTAGTACCACTCCCATCAACTGAAATATCCCCAATCCCCCAACTCAATGGCTTGAATGAATGAAAATGGCTTGTGGAGATGTGCTGCGCGAACAGGTGACAGATGCTCAGGGAAGAGGGTAGAATTGGGGCTGGGATTGGGGAAGAGCTCTGTCGCAGAATTAGCCTAGATTTTATTCCTGACAAAAAATTGGTCCGTCGGGGTCTTGAATTGTTCTGGCGGGCTCGCCGGAGGTATTCGAAATGCGCTGTTAACAGTGGAGCCCCGGAATTGCGCTGTGCTGGGCCTGAATTGGCCTGTCCGGGAGTCGAATTAGCCTGTCCGGGTGTCGAATTGGTCTGGCAGGGACATTCCGACAGCCAGGATTGGCCTGTTCGGGGTGTCGAATTAGGGAAGCACAGGAATTGTGCGACCGGGGCAGCCCAAAGAATTGCGCTCTCCCCAACCTTGTGTCCTACCCTCCACTCAGGGTCATGCGTCACCATTCTTCCATTTTACCATCCACGTGGCTTTCCTGGCCCTGCCTGCCACCCCCCTCCGTGTTCTGTGTTCCCAAAGCCCCCTGAATGACCCTGTTCACCCTATTGTGCGGACAGTGGTGCGCTTCTCCGCCCAAGTCGCTACTGTCAATTCCGGCCGTTGCCCGGCCGGGTTTCGTGCTTGCCGCAGACCTGTCGATACTTTATTGTCGCTTGCACGGGTCTTAATGAAGCCCAATCTACAGGGGGTTAGAGGCCCAGATGAAGTCAGCAAAGGCAAGGTCCCATGGGATGGAGCGAGGTTCCTCGTAATATGGGACGGCTGGCTGTCGTAGACAAACATTCCATGAAGCTAAGGCTGCTGTGCTAGTCTCCACGGGCAAGACTGGTTTGACGGTCCAGGCGGGCCCAAGCCCCCGACTGATTCAAGCCCCTAAATCGCCGCTTTGGTGAACTACGTAACGACAATGATCGCAAACTGAAAGCCTCGCAACTTCTGGCTGAACGAGTTCGTTTTCTTTACCAAGCTTCCATTGTCGTCTTATTCTGAGGGGCAGCAAACGAAAGCCACGCTCGCAACAGACGTTCATAAAAAAATGTAAGGCTGCCTATGATATGACGGCCACTAAGAGCAAAACGCGAGCATCGGTGCATGAAGAAACAGCAAGTTGGCGTTGGGCCGCCGCTTAGGGGTAAATTCCTCAGCATTTGTGTCCAGTTTGGTAAGTGCAATCATACATTTTAATCAGTGCAAGGTAAAAGGCAACAAAAATGTGAGTATAGTTTCAACCGTTCTCCGTGACGTCCGCTAATTTACATTAACCATAGAGCAACTGAGGTAAATAATATTGCAGCCATATATCACACAGCGCTGTTAAGGCCTGTCTAATAGCAGCTAGCGTACTTCTCCACCATCGCATTCCAAATGCAGTACAGAATCGTGCATGAGCCATGTATTTAAGCGTCGTGCTCATCGAGACTATGGAGCATTAAAGCCCTAACTTAGGCCTTGTAGATCTTAGTTATCACAGGGGCCTGGGTGCCACAGGCGCATAGGGCGGTGGCCTCGGCGCGCAAGTTATCTCACACCCTGCAGATCAGGGTTATCCTGCGCAGGCGCACGCCTAGTGTTGCGAGCTCTGTATCTTTGAGGTTAAGCAGATCTAAAAGGGTACGTGGGTGTATTTCTGCGAAGCACTGATTGCCTTGGTGCCACCTGTCATCCTATCAGCAATGAAATGTGAAGGTGTAATAATTTTACATTTCCCAGAACTTATCCATTTCTAATGCGATAGACCTAGCTAGGGGGCGCATGCATCACCTTCCGGTTTCTTAAGGACGTACCCTACCTTGCCCTCACTGCCTTGGGCGCAGGAACTTTGCGGCAACTGACGTCGTTGTTTTCGCTGTATACAACGGGGACAGTCTGGCGGTTTGCTGTTGGTCCGCAGCCACAATGGCGGAGACTGCTCGCCGAAGCTGCGTCTGCATCGCGGCAACGGTAGCAATATGGCTATTATTGGCGCCTGTGCTCGTCATGGGCGCTGGATCTGATAGTGGAAATTCAACACGACCTCCGTTTCCACCGCTTTGCAACTGTATTCGTAGCCCTAACGCGTCGCCCTTCATCCTTAATGGCATCCCTCCCTCTTCGTCGGGCGATTACCAAAAGCATTGCTTTGCCATTACAAAAACTTCCAGCTGCACTCCAAAGCTTCAGTGTTGCAATGGCAGACAAGGCATTTATAAAATTGAGTTCGACGTCGGTAAGTCTCTTGGTATTCGGACCGGTGAAGGGGGTTATTCATACTGAATCGTCAGTATTTCGCAGCAACTTGGTTTGTGCCTTAGCTCGGAGAGGTTGCTAGTTGGCAACAAGTCTCAGCCCACCTTGCTGGTTTGCCTGTTGCGGGACATTAATGCAGGCCCTTGTGGCTGCCTATTTGCTTCCCGCGCACTGCCATGCCCTCCGTTAAGGTATTTTTTGTTTCCACCTCCATGCGAATGGCCTCCAGAGATGTTATTGTTCACGCCCACCATTACCACTATTAGTGTTCGGTGGCAGGTACTTCCAGACTAAGATTATCTCCCCTCTCTCTTGCGCTCTCGCAGTGTCCTCCTGCAGGCCCTCTCTCCAGCGGGTAACAGTCAACAATCAGACTTGGGGGTCTTGGGAATTCAACAGCCAACTCAGCGTCCTGCGTGTAACCAAGTTGTTTCTGAGTCCTGCTGGTGCTCCAGGCACCCAGATCTGCCTCTTCCTGCAGAAGAGGACGCCCTGCACGTATCTCTCGGATTTGTGCAGCGCAGGAGATGGGATCTGCAAGTATGCAATTTTTAACTGGGACACAGCAGGTGGTAGCACCAACGACTGCTGCCCTGTGCGGGTAACAGCACTGTCACCACCACCGCCGCCGTTTGAGCAGGTATCAGCCCTCCCACCACCACCACAGCCGTTGCCTCCACCCGCGGCCCCCCCGCCCCCCTCGCTTCCTTCTCCCCCTCCTCCCTCTCCGCTTCCTCCCTCCCCACCACCACCTTCTCCCCTTCCGCCTTCTCCGTTACCACCTCCTCCACCTCCTTCCCCACCACCTCCTTCTCCACCTCCTTCCCCATCACCGCCCTCTCCTCCACCTCCGTCCCCATCACCGCCTTCTCCTCCACCTCCCTCCCCACCACCACCTTCTCCCCTTCCGCCTTCTCCGTTACCACCTCCCCCGCCTCCTTCCCCACCACCGCCTTCTCCTCCACCTCCTTCCCCACCACCGCCTTCTCCTCCACCTCCTTCCCCATCACCGCCCTCTCCTC